CAGAAAATTGTTTTAAACAAACCAGTCACTGCCTATAGCGGCATTTGTAAGTCTACAGTGCACTCCAGTGGAACATAGCAGTATATCCATTTTTTTCCATTGTTTTCAATATAAGGTAAAATTGCTTTGCAAATATTCCACCTTCTTTAACTTTTAAACCACCAGAAAAGCATGTCCTTCAGAAATAATAGATGCAGATATAAAATGTTGAAGAAGACTTGCAAAGAGTGTTAACAAGAATGTTTTATTGTACATGTTTTAATATAAAATGATCATTCTAAAACCTAAACCTGTGACAGTCTTGCTAACTATAATTCTGTGTTTACAAATATCAGGGCAACACACCAAAGATTTGTTCTGTTTTACAGAGTCCAGAGATGTAACTAACCAGACTCAGATATACTTTTTGTGTCTTTCAGACTGTAAGGTTAGTTAATACATCTGTAAACTAAGCTATATCTGACAAAATTGGATAATCCGTTTCCAGGGACATGCGACTAGCAATTTCATTGGTGTCAAAATATTCGTGTTCTTCAGAGAACTTCAAGATTCCTAGTTTTTCCTACAAAGATTGCTTTAAAAACAAATACATATAATGTCAACACCCTTTATTTATTCAGTGGTTTTAGAGACTTGATCTTTGCTCTTCTGTGGATTCTCATGCAAATACAACAATAATCTAAGTATAATTTTATACTGAGCAATTGCTTCCCCCTTTTTAAGAATAACAAAGATTTTTATGGTTGTTAATAGGTTATTTGTGATATATGTGAAAAGTAAAGCATAAGAAATATTACTTGATTTACTACCCCAATAAGAGTTGCAAGCTATTCTACAAGTAGAACTGAAGCTTGTTAGCCAGACTGTACATACAAAATGTTTTTGATGGCTAAGAAATGTAGACAAAGAAATCTTAGTTTAAGATGTGATCTTACGGACTGAATATTGTGTAACAAGCTCATAAATAGATCTCTTCAAAAGCCCCAAATGGATATCGTGATCTCTGATATTAATAGAATTGTTAGAACACAAATTCACAATAATTTGTAAGATAGACTTCGGATAGTACAATACATTTTTCCTGCAATGAACACAGTGTAAAGAAGGGACACTCCCATTCCTTCTTTCTCTCTGGAAAAATATTTGGCGGACATGAAGTCTTAATTCGCTAGCTCTCTAAAGAAAGCCAAGACACAATTTTCACTATCTAGTCAGCCAAGTAAGGTAAAATCTAAGACCTAATCGACAGTGACGAGGTAACCTTTAAGAAGAATAGCCAATTAGGACTTGGTTTGAAACTGTTACAATGAAAGAATACTTGAAATTAAAGAAAGGCCAGAAAAATATAAATGAATGAGGACTTCTGAGTGTCCTTAGAGAAACAGACAAAATAGTGTACAGTAAAAAAAGATGATTTGACTGCTTGCAAATAAAGAAACAGAGTGGTGTCAAGCACCAGACAAGATTTGAACAATCAGCTTCTTAGTGCTAATCTTAACTTCTTATTTTACTATTTAATGGGGGAGGAGAATTTTTGTAACAGAAAAAGAAGTTATCAATTTCATCACTAAATGCAACTTACTGTTGTATCTGTTAAAATGACCAAATTTATGACCCCAAACAGGACAAGTACAATGCTAGTATCACACAAAGATACATATAATGCTTGTAGTTACTACAAGCATAAATTGTCACTTTACTACTTTTTTTAGTTAAGTCAATTCACTGAAAACTTATTTGCAATTTCCAAATTGATACAGAATGGATTGCTTTTTAAAAAGATGACCATCAATATCACCAAGGCTTTCCATATTTAGTTTGTTCCAAGGTGAGTCAATACTCGTCTTTTAACAGAAAGTAATTAATTATAGGGAGCAACAATATTCAGATCTGGACAACTGTAAAGCCTCTAACATTACACAAAATCTCTCAAACTTCCAAAAGGCTAACAGAGCTAACCATTCCTAAAAATGGTTTCATTTACAGTAGCACTGTCACTTGAAAGCAAAGCATTGTTTTCCATATTCCCGGTAGGACAGTCAGGTATCTGCCAAAGGGATTATTGGATTAAATTATGCATTACTGAAACCAAAACCTCTTAGTCAAGAGCATGAAAATAATACAGAGATAATGATTAATCTGTTATTAATCTAGAAATTCATTTGTGATTTAATACTGCACTTGTGTATACTATTCAGATTCCATGCTTAGCCTAGTACATGTCTGCGTTTTATTTCACTTTCAATTTTTTCACTGTCAGAAACCTTGTATGGTGTTCCAGCATCCAGTTTTCAATAATAATATATAGTAAGTGACATACACACACATTGTCAACACACAAGATTTGGTCTTTTTTCAATAAAGGAAGAATTTCCACTTACAAAACCCCCCTCAAAAGTAAGTACTGTCATACACGTTAGCCAGATTCATCAAGATCAATGTTTCCCTGTAATTTATAAACTAGACGTAGAAGTCTTATAAATCTCAGAAGACAAGCAGAATGCTCAAACACTTCCTGTTAGCAATTAAGGGATTTCAGCTCACTTCCAAGAAAAATGCAGCAACACGTATATATATCTATATACATGCAGATAGACGAAAATTGGAATCTATTGATCTCCAACCAAATCTCAGCAAGTTTTTTCTTCTTGTTCTATTCCTGCTGGCAGTGCCATAAAACATAAAAAAACTATGTGTCTTAAGCAAAACAATTAACTAAATCTAGATTTCTTCTGTTGTGCAGAAGTATGACAAGATAAAATCCTACTTAAAGAGCAAGCAGAAAATAAAGAACTAAAATCTGAAGGAACTCAAATATGACAGATAGATGTTGATTTGTTGATGTAGATGTTCATCTATAATGGAAATTCTGTTTACATATACACAAATACATATTTTGGGTTTTGTTGGATCTAAGACATCTTTAACCCATTGTTATGAAAGCTAAATCCTGAAAGCTGCAACACAAATATTTCTTATTCTTGTACTCATGAACTTGGACTGAAATGAACACTTCTTAGCACCATTCCTACATAGCCAGGCAAAATTCCTAAATTAGTCCTTTGAAGGCTGATCTCCTTTATATAAGTACAACTTCCATTCCCTCAGCCACTCCTTGCCAGCCTTTCCTGAAGTCCTTCCCAGTACTCCAGTTGCATGAACTTGGCACAGCATCTTAATTGTTCCAACAACACTGTAGTTCTGTAACCACATACAGCTCTAATCCTTCCTGCTTGTTTCCAAGGATGCAAGCATTTCTGTACCAAAACTTGAGCAAGCTGTCCTTTCACCTTAATTTATCATTCCTGAAGTCTTTCTTGCTCCTATCTACCTGCACCCTGAGCTTTCCATCCCTGATCACCACTTCTTAACTTTACTGTAGTCTGTAACCTCCTACCCCCACCATCTCTAGTTCAAAGCTCTTCTCATTAAGTTGGCTAGCTTGTTGGATCAAGGAGACAACATCTAGGCCCAAATGATCTCAACTCCAGAGCTGTGTGGTCATTACCAATATGACCCCAGCTGGTGCCCACAAGGATGAGCAGCAAGAAACAGTAGTAGTTTCAGGGCTGGACAGACCTTGGCAATCTGTCTGCAGTGTTGTGGATCCAATCCCACAGTAAGCCACATAACCTTTAAAAAGGCAAGTGGGGGACACAGGGGTTTCTGTCCCCACATGAGGGAGTCTTGTACTACTGCCACACACTGTTTCCTCCTGATGTTAATGCATGGTTCAGGTTAAAGATGCCTCTGATGCTTCCCCAGTCATGGCTTTCTTCTATTCTGCTTCCAGGCTTTTGAACCTATTCTGCAACTGCAGATCTGCATGTGGAAAAAGAGTCATCCTCCAGTTGCTGGAGATCATAAGTTTCCAGCCTTCCTACTATGGAACTCTGTTTACCTTGCAACTGATTGCAGTCTCTGGTTGCCCCTTCTGCGTGGTTCGGACTATCTTACCTCTGGGGACTCTGTGAGGATCCTGTTAATCTTCTCTTTGCCTTCCCTGAGCCTGCCCAGCCTGCTCGCTTCCTCCTGCAGCTCAAAAGGGGCAAAACATTTCCTCAGCTGATGTACACCTCTTGTAGGCATGGACACTCCTTTCCCCTGCCCCAGCCGCAAGGGAAGGTATTAGGCACTGCCTGCTGCCCAAGACCTGGGAACTTGCATCCTCCCTCAGCAACTCTGAGCTGAGGTCTCTACTGTGCCAACAGCAGCAGCCACAGCTGGTGCTGGGGACCATGTCCCAGGCTGTTCCACTACAGTTTCTGATGTGTTTCATGACCCCATCAGTGTATTTCCAGCCTCTCCCACAAGCAAACTGCTTGGAGGAGCCACTGCTTCCCACAGACACACAGTCTGGGACCTGTGCACTGGGTGCAGCAGCCCTCATTCTGTGCCCCCTGAATGGGCACTTGGCTCTCCCTATCGAGGAATTACCTCTCCTGGCCACAGCCTAGATGTCAGCATGGCTCCACCACCTCTAATGACACTGCCCCCCTCCTTGCCAGGTTGCCACCTGCACCATGCCCACTCAATAGCCCGGGGGGCAACATCCTCATGGTGGCTATCACAGACCCCTTTGCCCCACATGGGCCCCTTCTGCCCAAACAGAAGCCCAGCTGGACCTTAACCATGACTCGCTGTACATCAGGGCCACCACCCTCACCACATATGGGGACAGGACACCAGCATCTGTGTCCTCTGGTCGGTCCCTTCCTGCGAGACCTCGGAGTCACCCTAGTGCTGCCCTTGCAGGTCCCCAGCACCAGGGCTGCTGCATGGCACATGGTGGCTGTGCCAGGGCTGGGATTCTCCACATGCCCTTGGCAGGTGTCTCCCAGACAGGCTATGGGGATAAATAGTTGATAAATGGTTGATTTATCACATTCATAAACCCCAGAGATGATTTTGCTCTTAGTTAAAATGCAGGAAATCAGAAGCCTCAATTTATTTTTTTTTTTTTTTTTACTCCATGTAATAATGATGTACTGCTAACATACCTGTTTCAGACTTTCCAGTTTGTTTTTTCTCAGTTCTTCATATTTATATTTCCAAATAAATAATTCATTTTCTATCTTTTCAATTTCTTTTTCCAGAAATACATTCATTCTGAAAAAGTATTTTAAAAGTCAGCATTACATCTTTTAGAAGTTAACAAAAGACAAATTACTTTGAATTTCCTTTACACAGTTGGAGTTATATTTTGCTTTTTCAACTGTATGTGTGGTTTTTATTAAAAACCTATATTGTCATTTTATAATTATTCCAAGAGATTTACCAAAAATAATTGCTAAAGAGAACAAAGAAATCCAGTAGTATAAAATTAAAATTTTAAATGAAATAAAATTGAAATAATGAAATAAGTATGAAATAAAATTGAAAACTGAATAAAATTTGGAAATGGACTTCAGTTACTGATTCAGGTCACCTAATACATGGTGAGTTATTGAAGATCCTCAGAGAAAAGGTACTGTATCACTTTTATTTGAGCACAGACAGAAGATTACTTTAAACACACATATATGGGGGAATATATACAGTACGTAGACAGTATTAAAACCAAAGATGATCTACTTTAGATGTCAAAAGAATTATTAAAATACGTTTCATGATTCAAGAAATACTTGCTCTTGAAAAAAAAAGTTAGAAGAATTTTAAGAAAATGGGTTATTTAGCTCAGAGACACTACACCCTCATTAAACATTAGCTTTTGGAATGTTATTAAGCATAAAGTTCGTTACTACATTCAGGAAAATTATTTAAGACACATAATTCACAAAGAAGAAATTATAATTCCTTGGAGACAAGTACTGTATTACTGAAACAATGAACTTTGATATTGACTTTTACCCATCTTCTAACGAATTAAAATATTTTAATTCAGGAAAAAAATGAAAGAAATATGAAGCAGCAGAGGCACCACAGATGTTCTTCTCTCTGAGACCAATTAAAAACTAATTTTTGTGTTCACCAGAAACACTATTAGCCCTGTTCCAAAAAGACGAATGAACTTCTCATTATTTCATTTTATGAAATTCTTTCATAATTTCATTTTATATTCATGTAATGCGTATGTATCATATTGAAATTTTGCAATTTTACAACAAAAAAAAACATGTATTTGATATGAGCCCTAGTGCCTAGTAGAGGATGTTGATGTGTGATTTTACATTGTAAACACAGTTCTGAAGTTCTTTTAAAGACAAAACATAAACAAAAAAAAATTTTTTTTTTAAAGCTCCTTTCTTTTTATATTTTGCAAAGTCTTATCCATGGCTTAAGGTTACATTGGCATTACTGAAGATAGCTCTAAACAGAATGCAAAAAGCATAGGACCTTTCAGGGTGAAGAAGCAAAACACCTCATGGAGAGATTAGTCAGGTAACCAGGGGCAAGTCCAAACACTGGACCTTCATGAGCTAACTTGACTCCGGAAAGAAAGCAGCCACAGTTTGGAAGTGCTGCATGTAAACCAGAAAACTGCTGAGACGTCCTGTGCTGTATGAGTAAGATCATACTGACTGCCAAAGTAACCTTTGGCCTTGGGGTTCATGCTGTCTATGATCCAAGCTTACTTTTGATGAAGCACAGCTGTGTGTCCTTGGCTCAAGTTTACTGAGAAAATTGCTAAGTTGTGAGGAAGAAGCTGTGAGAAAGTGCTTACGTTAGAGCCATGCAAGATAAGAAAAGCAAAAATGCAAACTGGGGTAAGATTGTTGAGATAACAATTATTAGCAGATCCAGGATCCAGGAACAAAAAATACTGAAATGAACTAGTATAAAATCTATCAGGGAAAACCTGGGAATCTGAAGATGGAAACTCAGCAAAATCAGCTGGTTCCACTAAACAGTGGAGACCAACCCTTTCTCAGATGGCAGATGCCAACCTGCCCAACAAAGACTCATAGGGTGTCTTGAGAGACTGGTGACTATGTTAATACTTATCCTAGTAACATTATTCCTAGCTATTTATTGTGTGCATTGCCAAAAATAATTGCTTCATGCTTTTAAATTGAATATATTTTGCTTACAGAACAGCTTTGCACCGAGGTTGTCCAAAGTGACCTAGAGAGGGAGTTGTTACACCAATGCCCACTGTTATGTGGAAATCACTGCTCTTTGAGCATTTGCTGCCTGAGACTGGCACTGACATACGTTGCACAGCATAGACATGCCCCAATTCTTACAGTGTGCCAGTAAATTTGTTGCCATATACCAGTCAGTATATATCTAGGTATAAATGGCAACATCCGCCTCCCTGAAGTACAGTTGCAAGTTGGTTAGATAAGCATGTGAAAGAAGCAAAACCAGGAGGTAAAACCAGTGTTTATTTAAATTTTGTCTAAGTGATTAAAAAATAAGAGAAGGAAAGTCTTATATATGCATGTATGTATACTGTGGCTGCTGTTGAAAAATTAAGTACCTAGGACCCCAAATATTTCAACCAGAGAAAAACAGATTTGTGAGGCTTCTAACTCACATTTACAAATAACATGACAAGCTGGAAAATGTAGGCATTGTGGGATTTTTGCTTCCACAAAAAAACAAAATTCTTTTTAATGAGATGGAACATACTCCCGGTCATCTGCTGTAATATGATTCAAATAAAGACTTACAGCTATCTAATTCATATAACAGAGCACAGTAAATAATAGTTGGGAATATAAAGATTTTTTCTTTTTTTTTTTTTCCTCTGAGTTGTACTGTCTGAAGAAGAATTGTGAAAAAAAATGACAGGAAATAATTCCTTCATCATAGCTTATTATTACAGACTCTCTGAACTGAAACTATCAAATGTAATTGTAATAGAGGGGGAATTTTTTTCCTCTTAATTTTGTAATTAACTTCAGCTGACTTTGAAGTCACATAGTGCCTGATGTCTCCTACTACATCCACCATACATCAGATACTGTGTGTTTCCTTGGAAAACCTTTTTGGTGTGATTCAATTTTGCTCAATCCTGATCATCTATACAAAACATCAAGGAATTCCTACCAACAGAGACTCGCATGTTAGCATATAGTGTGTAATCAACATATAACTTGTTTTAGGCCAACAAAATGCATATTTAAATGCAGTAAGTTTGATATGATTCAACAAGCATACAGTGTGTTATTCTCTCCTTGTTATCTGCTTTTGACATAGACCTTACTACAAGTGAAGAGGTTAAGATTAATAGCATTTTTCAGCAGTATTCATGTACTTTCAATTCAAAAACAGCCTTAGTCATTCTGCAGTTGGAGTCTTTCAAATTCTGCTGGTAGAGTATATGAAAATGTGTTATTATACAGAAAGAACTCCAATAACTGAGTATAATATACATTAGATACCACTGTGTTGATACCAAATTGCTAGTAAGTATAATTTTTCAATTAACTGTATATTCTTAACAGACAAGGTAAGGAGAGCCATAAACACACCATGCTGAATTTTCTCTCTAAATTCTTAGCAAAGCCTTGCAAATAGTAATTTATAAAGCTTAGAAATGAGAATATATGATCTATAAATGCAAATATGACCATATCTATTTCAGAAAGTGTCTTTAAAAACTTTATTTTTAATAGAGATTTCCTCAAGTATGATATATTTTGCACTTACTCTCTTTCCTTCTGTAAGATTTTCTGCATCTCAGCCAAATGCAAATGCAAGACAGAAAAATGTATTAAATCATTCTCTGTTGTACTGTTCATTTTTTTTTTAGGTTCCTCCAAATAGATGCTGGGAATTCCAAAGGAATCAGGCGATTTTGGAGTGATTTTTTTATTGTGATTGCTTTGGTCTTTGGTTACCTCTACATCCTGAGAAAACAAAAATATGACAACCGAAAAAAAAATAAGCAAAGGGAAAAGTCTAACATAACTTCTGCTGGACCTACTAAGGCTCTTCTAGACATTCAAGTCACATAAGAGAAAAAAGGGAATAGGTAACATCTTATACAGTTTCACTGTATATGGATAGAATGTGTAAAAAACGGTCATTGTAGTTTGATCATTGTAATTTTGTAACATCTCACACCTTCTGTAACGACAAGTTTCATATCTAAATTATTTCTAATCTATCTTTACTAAAGAAACTAAGATTCTAAAGATACTAAAGATTCCAGGCATCATTAGTTGGCTATAACTATGGTGAAGACAGAATCGTGAAACTAACAAAATGAGGAATGCAATTCCTGCATACAAATAATACACTGAGAAACTCTGCATTAAGAACTTGTAATGTTAATAATACTGAAGCAGGCAATGGACTTATACAAGTTTTGTATAAGGAATAAGATTACCTGCCTAACATACCAGTTTGGATCCCATTTAGAAACTAAAACCACTATAATACCTATTTTGAAGATACAAGTTTTGCATACATAACATAAGCAAAACTAATGACAATTAGAAAAAAAACATTTAAAAATAAAATACGTATTTACTAGAAAGACTGAACATCTCTTATAAGCAGTTGCTTCCTTTAGAAATGTATTTAAATTTTATCACTTCTGACAAATTGTGTTTAAAAGCTACTCTCATTTTAGCAGATTACCAGCAGTCCTATTTCATAGTAGTCTGTTCTGAGATTTGAGAAGAATGTCTGAAATCTACATCAGAAACTACTAGAAGCTGCTGAAAAGATAACTGTTTTCTATTACCATATAAAATTTTGATTTTCAAATAATGCATTATTTAATCTAAGGAGAAAGAGAAATGGTTAAAATACATTTTGTGTCACTTCCTTCCTACTACCCATTTGGCTGCCCCAAAAATATGGTATATGTGCATTTTTGTCCAAATTTATTCTCAGTACTAACATGGTGGTGCGTTTTTTTTTGTTTGTTTTTTTTTTTTTTTTCAAAATTCACAGGAATATAATGCAATTTATGTACATTAGAGAGAAAGTGAAAATTCTGCACATAATATATTCAGGTCCAAGATCCCCAAAATTTCCATTGAACCGAAGTAAAAAATTTACTACATCATACAATGTAAGAAAAATTTTCCTACATTACAATGACTGCAAATACCAAGTATAGTTTTTATATGTTGCTGTCTATAAAGACTATAATAACAAATGTGAAGGCACAGAATTAAAACTGGTAAAACATGAACAAATAGCTCCATTTTGATAAATATAACTGGTTCTTTTATATAGAACTAGGAGGTGTATTAAACCATGCCCATACTTGATTATTTAATTCTACATAACAACTTAATTGCTCTCCTTAACAAATAAAAAATCTTATGACTGAAGAACTTGACTCACTTATACCCACATTTTAGAAATCACATTAAAGGAGAATTAAATGATTTTATTTTAGGAGCCAAGAACCTACATTGCTTTCTTGGAGGTAAAAAAACGCAAACCAAAAAAAAAAAAAAAAAAAAAAAAAAAAAAGACATAAAATAGAGAGAATTTATATAACAGAGATAATCCCTTAACTAGAACCTCTCTCTCTGAGAGTGCAAATGATACTCTAAGTTATCGGATATAACAGTCTGCCTCTGTTACTTAAACGTTTAGCCATAGTTGAAGGCTATGAATTGTTTTATGTGTTTCTCTATATTAGGAATATTATATGGATGAAAAAAGTGGGTTTGCTATTGAATGGATCTGGTAGTATTTTTGTCAAATCTTTGAAAAATCCCATTTGTAGATACACATCCATAATGTCCCACTTCCTCATGAACTGAAAAAAAAAAAAAAAAAGATTCTTTACCTTCTTTGTGTCTTCTGCCCCAGTAATCTTGTTAGTTTTGCTCAGTTCTTTCACAGGTTCTCGTTGTAGAAATGTTAACTGGCTTAGATCTTTTTTAATATAAGATATTTCTGAGCAACTGCATTCTGTTTTCCAAGCAGTTACATTTTCTAAATGTTCCTTCTCATTTACTAAATCTTGATTTATTTTTTTAAGCATACTCAGTTCTTTTACAACACTGTCTAATTTGATTCTCAGTTGTTTTGCTTCCTCTTGGGCTTTATTCCTTTCTCTTCTAACTTTGCTCCATTTCTCCCTCCAATTAGCGGTACAATCTGACCACCAGTGCATGGTCTTCTCCATTTGGGCAGCTCTGGCTTTGACTTCTTCCAGTTCCTGAAATTTTACTGCTTCAAAAATTTCCCAGTTGCTGCTGTAATTCATATGCATATATGGATAATGAGGTGAAATTGGGTAAAAACTTTCAGATGGCAGATTTGATTTACACAGATGGCCACCTGGTTGGCAACCTCCAGTTAATTTATAAGGTTGTCTCGGTTTGGTCCCAAAAACCTGTGTCTCTTCCATTAGTTTCTCAATGGAGCCTACATTCATGTTTTGAGTCATCATCTAACTTCACTCCTAAAAAAGACAAAGACAGACAATAATTTAGCTTCCCTCAATTAAATTATATGAATAACCTCACATAGTATCTTATTTTTGTGCCATAATAATGAGATAATCTTAATAATGTTGTTGACGTTTTAAAAATGTGCTTCATCAACACGAAACATTACATATTTTATGTAATTTTTTTGGAGTAAAGCATAAACAGACATACTTATTACTTGACTAGGAATTTCTAACAAAGAAATTGTCATTAAATAATCATAGTGCTCTTAGAAAAAAGCTTTCTGCCTTCAAGAGAAAATTAAATTGAATTAATATATATTTAAAATGTCTAGTAAGAGGAAAGTATTTGTCTTAGACTACAATCACAGATTCACTTGCCTTCTTTCCCAAACTGTGGAACTTTCTACTGGGAAAAACTTACTTAGTAATTTGCATACCTAAGGAAAAAAAAAAAAAAAAAAAAAAAAACAAAAAAAAACCACACACCAAAAAAAAACAACCCTGATCTTTGGATTTTCTTTGTTACAGGAGAAAAATCAAGCATTTTTACAAGGGACTTTAGTTTGCTGTCTACATTCCAGAAGCTGTCCAGGAAGTATATTCTTACAGTATTCTTGAAAGAGTACCACTATTTTACTGTACTGTACAGCCTGTCTCATGAAGATATGACTCTTCGTGTATTCCTTTTCATTATTTACCTGCTATTACTGATTCAGACCAGAGAAAAATCAGCATCTAAAGTGCTTTCCTACCCCAGTGCTGAATAAATGTTGATGTGCAGAGTCTGTAGAGACTAGTCACTTATATCTCATTTTTTTCTCTTGATTACCTTAAAAAACAAGACAAAACAAACTGAAAATCTTGCTATATCAATAGCAGATTAAGTTGTCTAAAGAACAAAAATTGCTCTTATAGTCCAATATCCTTCTGTTGGAAAATGGGTGAAGAAAAAATAATTTTTTAGGGTAGCATAAGAACTGAAGCAATCTGTCAAACACCTGCAACATGCTGTCCATTGCACAAAGGTCCTTGGGGTAGGCAAGCATGATAACCACCTCCTGGGAAATGCATAAATTGAGAGGCTCCATGCGTCAATTGAGAGACTCCTAACAAGAAACCCCTGTCCTTGACAATTAAGGCCCTCTGAAAAATAATGAACTAGCTGATGCTAGGAAGGAGATAAGAAAGTTCAGACATAAATCAAAGAAATGCCAAGTCCTTCCCAAATAAAGAAGAAAAATTCAAAAGTTCAGAGAAAGTTCAAGAAAGGTTCCTCTCCAAAGACCACCAATGACTCCCATGGAAGCCCCCCAGAGACCTAAACACATGCATAATAACTATGTAAATATGACAATTAGTTCTAAGAAATTTGATGAATAGGTATGTAACAGAGTGATATAAGCTTTGGCTATTGTAACATTTGGTGGACATATTAAGTGGAACGATTTCCTCATGCCCCCAGTCCAATAAAGTGATGCCTGCTCGTCAGTGCTAAAAAAGTGATGCCTGCTCGTCAGTGCTAAATGTAGCTTTAAGGAGTTTCATTCCCGATTTGGGTGACACATCTTCTGTAAAAAAATCACGTTTATATGTTACAGCAATTAGTGTTAAGAGCTATATTTGAAATGTAGAAGGACAATACAGCAAACAAAATACTAAAGTGATCTAAGGAAACCAGATGGCTCCCCCAGGAAACGTTGCACCTGGGTGTTGGGATATGCCCTGTGTTTTGTTAAGACCTGCCATTTATCTGATAAGATACATGGGAGTTGCTAGGGGAGGGTTGGGGCCGGGGGCTTGGGGATATTTTAAGGGTTTCTAGGAACTAATTGTAATATTCCCTCCCTATTCCCGCAATTCTGATACATATGTAACATTCTATGTAATAAAAGGAGCCACTTTTGTCTCCAGACCGCGTGTGCATTTGGAGGAAATGATTCCCCCATGTGCCCAGCGCTGAATAAACATACCTACTTTATAACCTTACTGATTGTAAAATCATGATTCCGTGTCTCAAAAGAGTAGACAGTCTTGGCATTATGATTCAGTCGTGTTTCATTTCAGGTGAGTAGAAGTTTTTGCAAGTTTTTGTTCTAGTTTCCCAGCTCTTTTCAACTTCTCCATGCTATCCATGACATTTATGTGCCATTTGTTAGAAGCTTCCGGAGAACATGCTGTAGTCAAGTATGGATATGAGAGAAAGAAAAGGACAGTAAAGGATTCCCAACTCCCTTCATTATCACTGTCTGGTGTAGCATCACCAACCCCCACAACACTACACAGATGTAGACAGCTGATGCCAAAATTTGGTCAAGGTTGAGTCTTATTCTTGTTGCCTGACCTACTTCCAACAATTTCATTTGAATAAACCTTATCCAAAATACAAAGATATTGCCAACCATGATTTTTGGCCCAATAGAGCCCAAATAGCTAAATATTAAACTCTCAAAGTAAGTTGTTAATTTAACTTTGGTTAGCCTCTGTTTCCTAAAGTTTTAATTAAAAACAAACCAGAAACACAGTAAACTTTAGATAAATAATGCAATAGTTGCACTTTTGGGGTTTTTTAATAGTACAATAACTTTTTCTTATAATTTTTGTTTCTGTCCCAGACTAGTAGATGTCTGCAGAGACATTCATTACTCTGTTCATAATCTGTAGGGTTTTTTAATGGAGAGTTTACAAATCTTAAAGAATTGGAAAAAATAAGACTGGAAATAACTTTCTTTGGCTGAAACTTCAAAAGACCTGAGGACAGAACAAAATCTTAATGAATCAGAATAGCCTGTTGCTGTGGTTTTATAGCCCATATAAATGTTTCTCATCACGCACAAGGACCACTAATCACTAGCTCCATTGTGTAAGCCTGATACTTAGTGGCTCCATTGTGTAAACCTGATTAGATCCAAGCCTTGCTAATGACTACTCCATTGAAGAGGAGATAAAAGATGAACATCCTCCCCAGTTGGCACTGTAGGCCTGGTGGTTGCCCAAGAAGTATGAAGTCAGGAAAAATCGGGGCAGGTGGGAATTTTCCCTGGCCACCCACTCTCCCCCAGGAACACCTGTGCTAATTTACACAGCAAGCAGAGCTAATTCAAATATAACTAACCAATTGCAGATGGAATGGTAATTATGGGCCAATGAGTGTAATCTTAGATTTTTCCTAGTCGTGTAATAGGATACATAGGTTCTTGTTCCTTTGTGTAGTGTGCTAGCTTTGTGGAATTATCACCTATCTTTGCACAACTATAGAATAAACTGCTATTTCAGCTCTATATATGAGACTGGCTTTTGCACACAGGGTAAGAAACCCTGTTTGAGGAAATCTAACTACAAACTACTGCCAAAGAGAGTGGTGTCATTCACTGATCACAAATTCTTGGTTCCCCCCTCCACTGTGTTGGCTCAAGTGGTCTTGATGCTGAGATATTGCCAGTTCCAGTTCAAATATTTGAAGTAGGCTTGTACAGTAGCCTAGTAGGCTCCTAGCCTTCAAATAAATAGTTTTATGATGCACTGAACGTTGCCTGCACTTTTCATCAGGGATAGACGATCCTAACTTTGCACCTAAAATTAAAAAAAAAAAAATATTAATCAAAATAAGTTACTCCTCCTCTAGAAAATAGTAGTGCTGACTCAATTCAAGGTGGTAAGGAATAAATGTTTGCATTTGTCTTAACTTCCTTACGTGCTTTTCAGAAAATCTAAATAAAACAGCTTTTTAGAAATCTCCTGTAAGAGGCAGAATGGTATCTTACCATTTCTTCGTAAAAAACACAAATCTCAACACAATCTATTTCAGTGGATGGCTGACCCAGAATAAAAACATAAAAGATCACAAATATTTGTTGGATAAGTGAAAAAATACTATAAAAGCTTCTAGTTTTATAGTTATTTCTCATTGTTACAAATCTTACACTCCTAGTGACCTCAGCTGCAACTTTCAAGCAGTAAATCCTACATGATTTTGAATTTTGTAATTAATTCTTTCAAAAAAATATACTTTAAAATAATATCCTAGTGCTTTGGATAACTTGGTTTACTGAATTACAGTGTGACAAAGATTTACTATATATTAAAATACACTTAAAATTTATTAATGGAGTTTAAATTTTTAGTCTTAGAATTGAGCAGCCATAGTACTTATATTATCTGTGTAGTTCCAGTTCTACAGCACCTTGAAAATGGTGTCCCTCATGAGGATTACTTTAATTCCTGTTCCTTTTTATTCTTATTGAAAAGTTATTTGATCTTAAAAATGTCATTGTTCTTCTCATATCTAAAATATTTAAAAAATCTAAAGATTATATAACTTGGTACCACAAACAAGAGGAAAGGTGAAATCAGAAGTCAGATATTGCACAGAAAATGTCTTAAAAAGCTGTATATTCAGCTTTCAAGGTAGTTAACTTCTGGGAGGGAGAGAAAAAAAAATAAACTTAATAACCCATTCCAAATAAGATACATAACTTTTTATTGCTTATTATATAACGATGAACATGGTTTAAAAACTTCTGAACAGAATGGGTTAATAGAGTATAGCTAAGACCTATTTATGATTTAATTCATAAAGCCAAAATGTTCCAACTGAATAAATAAAACAGCAGACTAGAAAATAGGATGACATTCATTATCTCTATTTTAATTGATTTCTCAACTTTTAGAATATAGCATAAGCACATTAAGTTGCTTTGTTCACCATTTCATAGAGATAAGTAGGGTTAACATTGCTGACGTAAAGCTCAGACGCATACACTTGTTTCAACAAAGTACTACAGGCATCATAACACACATTATGCTTGCCCAAGGTTTTGATTTCTCCACAGACTTCTAAATTAGTCTTGTCTTGTGAAAAGAGGACATTTCTTAACTGGAAGATAGTCAAAGGAAATTTTTTACTATTGAAGAATTATTTGCTCTTTAATCTTCAAGTAAGATCTTCAGCAAACAAGATTTCTTTTTTTCTTAATATATAATCGATTAATTTGAAAAGAAGAAAACCCCAC